AACCTCTTTTCCTTGCTAAAATCAATTTTTGTTTACTTTTACATTTGACATTCCTCCTCCTCTTCGCAAGTTTAATCTATACAACTAGGTTGGACACAATCTGAGATTATTTTATAAATCTAATTTTGCATGGCTAATCTCTTTTTCTAATTACAGATTAGAGAGTTTAGCTATGGCATTATTAAGCAATTCCGTTACATATATAATGGTGTCCAATCTAGTTATATCGATTATACTTGCGAAGAGGAGGAGGAATGTCAAATGTAAAAGTAAACAAAAATTGATTCTAGCAAGGAAAAGAGGTTTGTACAGTAGGGTATCCGTTATTTCCCGAATTGGGTTTTGTCCTGCAAACGCCCATCAAATTTTTAGTTTATGACCTAAAAAAAAATATCAGACCCAGACCAGCCCTTAATATTCACATTATCCCGTGCCTAAACCATAATACATTTCCCATTTAAATAACATGAGATTTTTGGACATTTGCAATTAATCTTTTTCCACTGAAACAAATGGAGCTAAAAATACTTGAGCAGCCATTTCTTGTAGGAAATTTAACGTTCTACAAAAATTATGTGATTACTTTTTTTGACAAACTTTACCGTTTAAAAGTTATTCTACGATAAAGTTGTATTTATAGTTAAATTCATCGTTTTTTTGATTTCCTGCGTAATTTCCATTTAGATCAAACTAAACGCATACAGGTAGGTGATAAAATAAATAAATTCAAATATTAGATACAAAATAAAGGACATTATTGCTTATAAATAATGGAATCAAAATATTTACACTTTTTGTCAAACATTCTTTAGTTGCCGTAGGATATTTTCACTTACAGCTTTAATCAAATATTGGTTTTGACCTTCTTGAGCAGTTAATCTATTAACTGCTATTAACTAATTGGGGAAATGTCCCCCCCCCCACACCTATGTAACATGCATTTTCATAATATTCAACTGTAAAAAATTATGAGTGAGATATTTTAAATCCGAAAATATTTCAATTTCCCTTAATATCGTGAAATATCATTGCCAGAATATCCTTACTAATATTATAAATCCGAAAGTGAGTTTGTTTGTTTGCTACGCTTTCACGCTTTAACTATTCAACCGAGCATCATGAAATTTTGTGTACTGCTGTTATTTAGCCCAGCTTAAAATATAGGATACATTCAATCTCGATTAGGCAAGAGGGTGTGGCACCTCACATACAAACGGAATTTGTCATACTGCATTTCTCAGGAAATATTTTTGGTAGATTACTGGAACTTGGTATGGAGATATACAAAATCATTCTCTACACATGGATGAGGGCTGCCACCTTTTAATAAAAAATTTAATTCAACTTCAATTAAGGGAGTTATTTACTTGAAAATTATATTAAAAAAAAGGATGTCAAGACGCTTAAAAAAGCTATAGTTTAATATATTTTCAAAAGGCTTGCCACCTGTTTGAAAAGTAAAATTTAAATTAATTATACGGAAGCCATCTGAAGGATTAAAATATGGTTGTCAAACAAAATATTGTTAAGAAGCCTTTAGTTTTAAAGTTTTGAATAATATTGAAGTCTCTCACAAGGGTTGCGACCTTTTTAAAAATTCAACTTAATTAGTTGAAATGAAATACTATAGTACTAGCAGACCCGGCGAACTTCGTCCCGCACAAAATAATTTGTTTTATTGAAACTTTTTGGTCCAACATTTTCACCAACAATTCACGTTTACGATTTCCATTGGCACGCTAATCGGCTAAGATTATGATTTGGTGGTCGTTTTCCGCCTGAAATAACCTAACGAAAGCGTTATGTCCTAATGAAGTTCTTGAAATTCTCTAATTGTGTATCATTTCATAGAACGGTTAATCTCACAACGAAATAAATTTGAAGGACATTTCCTCTTCACTCCCTGGCGGCAACAATGATCTGGTTCAATAGTAAATCTGTCCAAGAAACTTTATAGTATAGTTGGTGGCAATTTCAAAATAGATGCGTATAATTGTTCTACAGAAATCCAATATACATACAGACCAATTCTAAATATTCCCGAAGATTTAATTTCTCGCTGATTTTACTTTTCTCGAGAATAAAATCCTCCTATTCGAAACTGCCAAGGAGCACCATTTTCCCAGAAAATTTGAGAGCAGAAAATTCGAACTTTCGAAGAGTGGTTTGACAGTTTTTTGACAGCTCAACTCTCGCTATTTAATTTGCACATACAAGTTTGTTTCACATAAAAGTGTATTTCAGATCAAAATTGTTAATAAATTAGTGCGCGGAAACTTAAAATCCGTCTTTTGAATTAAAGATCAATCTTTTTACTACACGGGTAAGTTGAAAGATTTTAATTTAGATCGCGCGTTTCCTTGTAATAACCCGAAATAAGTGGCCAAATAGCATAAGAGTACCCTATGCTAGGTCCAGTTACCTCTGTGAATTTTGGAATCCGCATTATTAATAAACTAGTGCGCCGGAAATTTAAATATTAGTGCTCTATTAAAGTTTGTTCTTTTAACGTTTGAGTTGAAAGATTTTAGTTTCATGCTCGTGTTTTCAAGTAATAAACGAAAATAAGTGGTCAAATAGCATAAGGGTACCCTTTGCTACATGCAGTTGCCGGTGTATATTTCGGAAGCAACATTACCAATGAACTAGTGCTCGGGAATATTAAATATTAGTATACAGCTAAAGTTTACTCTTTTAACTACACGCGTAAGTTAAAAGTTTTGGATTTGAATCGCCCGTGTCCATGCAATAAGCCAAAATAAGTGGTCAAATAGCATAAGGGTACCCTTTGCTACATCCAGTTGCCGGTGTATATTTTGGAAGCAACATTACCAATGAACTAGTGCTCGGGAATATTAAATATTAGTATACAGCTTAAATTGACTCTTTTAACTACACGCGTAAGTTAAAAGTTTTGGATTTGAATCGCCCGTGTCCATGCAATAATCCAAAATAAGTGGTCAAATAGCATAAGGGTACCCTTTGCTACATTTAAGGAAGCTGCATTATTAATAAACTAGTGCTCCGGAAATTTAAATGTTAGTGCTAAATTAAAGTATAGTCTTTTAACTACACATGTGAGTTGAAATATTTTGATTTCAATAGCGCGTTTTCATGTAATGAACTAAAATAAGTGTGCAAATACCAAAGGGTACCCTTTGCTAGGTCTAGTTGCCACTGTGAATTTTGGAAGCTGCATTATTAATAAACTAGTGCTCCTGAAATTTAAACATTAGTGCTAAATTAAAGCTTAATCCTTTGTAGGACAACGGTAAGTTTTGGAAGTGCTCATCACAACTAAAACAATGCATTCCGTTTCGCTTAGTGGCAGAGGAAGAGGAAGAACGGTTGATGGCGCAGAGGGTCGAACGACGAAAATTGCGTGATGCCATAAATCCCTTCGAGTTGCCGCAATCTTTGTAAGTTACCAATTTTCGCCCAGTACTACAAAATTGTATCGCTAAGCGAGGAATCAATTCAGTTTTTGGAAAAACTAAAAAATTTTATTGATTGCTAGCTTATTGGTCCACCCCTTTATTGCTCGATTTTGGCATTACTCTATACATTTTTAAATAATTACATATGCATTTTCTCAATTACATACACACATAGATTTGAAAATCGGAAATAAAAATACAAATATTTAAAATATGATTAGATCATACAAACAGCCTTTTTATTTTAACACTATAACATACATAACTAAAAAAGTATACATATTCTTGTTATTCGCTAAAAAAAGAAAACAAGGCAAAAACTAAAACAATTCATCACAAATAAACAAAACTTATGTACTAAATAAAAAAAGTTTGAACGCTACATATCTATATACAGTGGCGCCTATCTAAATAGCACACTTTTACTTTTTACAACATTCAAAATGTTTTACGTGCTACATTTTCCTGAGCTCTGCATAAAGTTTTAAACTTTGACTTATATAGTTTATGTTATGGCATCTTTTATATTTTTATAAAACATGTACGAAAAAAAATTTATGACGTAAAACATTGTGAAAATTGTAAAAAATAAGTGTGCTATTTAGGTGAGCGCCACTGTTCATCTAACTTAAATTTTAAAGTAAGCTTCCCGGTTTTGGCGGAACGCAGAGGTGTACGCANGCAATTACATACATACAGTATATTTTGCTTTGCTGCCTCTATGCTTAAGTGCACATTTAAGATACGTACCCCAAAACGCGCATCAAAAGCATTATTTTTAACATTTATAAGGAAACTGCTCCGATAGATGCATTCAACATACCTGCACATTGGCGATACCTGCCTTAAAAATTGTGCGACTAGTATCAATTATGAATGAAAGTATTACGTTTACCTGCACTGGCCCTACAATTACCTAATTTTACAACCTTTTATTTATTTTGCTCATCTCGCAGAACAACGAAAACGGCTATCAATTTATGTAGTTATATAGAAAATTAGATAACATTCGGTAAAAATTTCGCTTGCAGTAATTTCTACGTGGTAAGTGCTCCGCCAATATTTGGTTTCATAGGGATTCGGATACCTTCCTCATTGAAGTAGTAAAGAAAATTCGCTTAAGTGCCTTTTTCGGTTACGTGCACAAGTTTTTCGCGCAAAGAAGGATGTGCAGCTAAGCAAAATATACTGTACATAGATTTGAAAAGTATTACCGACTTAACAAGCCGGGATTCAAATATTTGTTGGACGTATTGACAGCAAATACGGAGGCACCAAAGAAAGCTTTTGCGATATCTCCCATCGCAAAACTGAGCGGGTGTTTAAGATTTTTGGCTGAAGGTGGGTACCAGACGGGTGTGGGTAAAGACTGCGACGTGTCCTTGGCGCAATCTAGTTTCAGCAAAGTATTGACGGAAGTGCTGACTATTTTTGAGCGCCATTTGTGCCCGCAGTGGATAAAGGTGAGCGAAAGCGAGGAGGAAAACAGGAATATCGCCCGAGCTTTCTACGTTAAACATGGCATACCGGGAGTTGTGGGGTGTATTGATGGCACCCACGTAAGAATAATTGCTCCACCACAAAACTCGGACCTTTACTACAACCGTAAAGGGGACTACAAACTAAACGTTATGCTTGTAAGTTACTCCTTATTTCCGCATTTATCTATATGGGAACTTTTTTAGATATCGACGGCTGAGTTGAAGCTCGACCTATCTCGGCAGCTGGTTCGAAAATGTTCTATCTCATAAAATGGCTCAAGAGCGCACAATATTAACATATTTTTAAATTCTGAGATAGGGCGTTTTCCAATCGAAATCTGAAGTAAGGCGTTCTTGGGCCATTCTCTGAGATTCAACTTCAACTCAGCCGTCGCAATACTTATTTGTACGTATTTATGTTCAATATTTAGCTTTGCGACAATGAATTAAGGATTCGCTATGTTGATGCTTCTCATCCTAGGGCGTGTCACGATTCCTTCATATGGAACAACAGCGAATTGCGTGTTTATTTTGAGAGGCAATATTTGCAAGGAGCGAGGAATGCCTGGCTTTTAGGTATTGTTGTTGTATTAATATACACTTGACCGTAATTACACCTTTTGTAAATTTTCAGCAGGGGACGCAGGGTATCCTTTAGAACCGTGGCTATTGACACCTCATAGAACTCCAGAAGAAGGCTCAAGGGAAATGAGGTTTAACGAAGCACACTCAAAGTGCCGAAACATTATTGAGCGCACCAATGGTGTACTAAAAATCCGCCGGCGATGTCTTCTTGGCGCAAAGGAACTGCACTATATACCCGAAAAAGCTGCAAAAATTACAAATGTGTGTTGTGCTTTGCATAACATATGCATTCATTTCAAAGCCAATGTTGACATTAAACTTGAAGTGTTGGAGCCTGAAGATGCGGATGTAACACCAATTTCTTCTCAGCAGTATAGCGCAGTAGCACAGTCGATTAGAACAAATATAGGATCCGCTCTTTAAATCATACGCAAAGCCTGGCAAAAAACGCAGCATTAAAGCAAGAGTTTGAAGAATATAATATTTTTTTACCATGCCATTGGACACTATTTTAGTGGGGTGAGTGGTAGTAATTGACGAATCAGTAGTTGTGTTAGATGAGTGCACATTGCTGACATTGCTGACAAAGCTGATATTTCAAAGTGTATATTATTTCTTAAATATTTCTTAAAAATTTTAAATAGTAAACCTTAAATTTTTTCTTTACAGATTTGTACGCCGCTAACACAACAATCTAGTAACATCTGCTTCAACTAGCCGTGTCTCAACAGGGCCTACAACACGTTATTTTTTGCAATTCAGCAATCAGCAACAACCATCGTCCAGCATAACTACCGGAACTACCACGTCAACAATTGTTGCCACAAAAGCACTGGGAACCGAACTACTCACGTTCACAAGAGTGGAGCTATGACTACTTCCACATCAACAACTTTATCGGTGAAAACTTTACCAACTGCAGCGGTATTCCCTCGAAAACAGCAACTGCCCAGCAACAAATGCAACAACAACAAAGCCAAAACCGAATTCAACGCCAACCTCAGCAGCAGGGACAGTCAGAGGAACGTAAACATTTGGTTGGCAAAAATCCTCCTAGATATATCCTCCAAGCGGGTGCCGACTGGGCAATGGGCATCGCTGCGGGCACCGCTGCGGTCGGACCTACGCCGCAGTGGTGAAAGTAGGCGGGGCCTAGCTAAGGCCGAGGTATAAACTCTCCTGTCTCTTCTAGTGGCTCGCCCTAGGGGGGGTTGGGGTGGGCATACTTAGGCTATTTCTAGGGGGTACCTGGCGGTAGGTATAAAACGCCCCCCTAATCCAGGGTGTCATGCGTCACCGTGCCTATTGGATGGTTTGCAGTCAGGGGGCTCTTCCGACTGTATTTTAACGGCGCCTCCCGGATACCTGTCCGCCTCCGGGAGTAACGGTGGACTTACCACAGCACGGGGCTCTGCTGTGGCCGACCGTTCTTTTCCCCTTCCTTTATACACGGTCGCCGAACGGTTTCGGCTCAGTAGGCGACCAAAGAACCAAAGAACGGCGTTATAAATAGTCCAGATATATCTTCGGTAGCCGCTGGATTGGTCCCGAAGATGCCTTCACGGCCATTTAAACCAGTTATTGAGCCCAGTGTTGGTAGGTGCAAACCCTCGGAGGGTAGCGAGCAACTGGCGACTGGGATGTTAACGGAGCCTACACGGCCGATGGATCTCTCGTGCCAGGCGTCCTCATCAAGAGCGGCAATGAGCACACCCCTTGAGGGTAGCTCTAAAGCAGCTCCGGTTGGGGGCGTTACTGGCACCCGGGAGCCCTGCACGGGCAATAGGAATGCCAACCACAAACCCCCTTTGGGGTCGCAGTGGGCGAAGCATCACACTCGTCCCAGTGGTTCAGGGACAATTAAACGGGTACGCCCAGCAGTGAGAGCGAAGCGGGTCAGAAGAGCCGCTTCCAGGCTGCTGAAGAAATTCGGGGACAATCCGGTTCCCGAGAATATGAGGGATGTGGTTGAGAGGGCAAAGGGCATTCTCTCTGAAAGCCGGGAACGGACTCAGGAGAAGGGTGTCCTGAATAACCCTGAACCCACTCCCTCAGGTTCCAGGGAACTGGCCCCCAAAAGGCAGCTATCGGCAGATCATGCCGACGGCCCATCGAAGAGGACCAAAACCTCGAGCAAGAACAGCCCGCCAAACCCTTCACGGGTCCCTCGGGCTTTCAATGATGTGGCCAAAGACCATTTGGTTCTGGCTGTAATGGACAGGGGGCACCCAGAGGGAAACCTGACAGCCGAGAATTGGAGGACTGTCCTTGTAGGTCTCTGCCGGGTGTACAAGGAAATTCTCCAAAGGATTCCTGGCCCTGCTCCTGTCATTCGCGACGCTGGCTTATACCAAGGCCGTATTAAATTGGTATCGTGCGCCGACGAAAGGTCGGCTCGGCTCTATAAGGAGGCCATATCTGCGCTTGGGGAACTGTGGCCCGGCGCTGACTTAGTGGCAGTGCATAGGGATGAAATCCCTTGCAGGCCGCGAGCCAGGGCATGGGTCCCGGAGGAACCCGCTAATCCGCAGGGACTTCTGGAGATTATCCAGATCTCCAACGACACACTACCAGCCCTCGATTGGAGCGTAGTGAAGGCCAGTGAGGTTAGGGAACAACAACGTTATATTACCCTGGTAATTAACGAGGAATCTCTCCCGATCCTCGCTGACTGCAATGGAGTCATCAGCTACGGCTTTTACTCCATCACTCTCAAAACCCAGAAAGGGAGTGAGGGTAAAATTCCTGAGCCGGGAAGCACCGCGAGTGAACCCGATAATCTGCCACATGAAGAAGGTTTTATTTCGAGTAGGGCAGAAAACGCCTGCCAGGAGGTTCCCGTGGCCCCTCGTTTGGCGGAGGAATCAGACTCGACATCAGAATCGGAAAACGATACGCAATCCGCTGCTGGAGACGGGGCTGATTTCGGCCAATGGACGAGAGATTTCGAGAACCTGTTCCTGGCATCGGAAACGGAGGACGCCGATGATACTGTTGTAGAGGTGTCCAAAGGGACCGTGCCAGGAGCTATGGATGGCGACAACTCCTTAGAGGCTGTGGATGAAGGTCCTACAGATTAACCTTCACCACTCCAAAGCAGCCTCCGAAGCTCTGCTCCTGCACGTTAGTGACAAAGGGGAGGAGTTAATTTTTGCCCAAGAGCCCTGGGTCATAAAAAACGGGGTCTGCGGACTCAACTCTGATGCTTACCAAATTGTGTCGGCCCCAGTGGCAGGTAAAATCAGAGCATTTATATATTTATCAAGAAAACTATTTTTTATAATTTACTCACCCATTTTAGCGATGAAGACACGGTGAGCATCAATGTGGAGGGAAAATCCACCAAACTCTGGCTGGTATCACCAATGCCTGTAATACGGCCTTCTCTGCGTCCTGTCCAATTGTACTTCCGAGAGGAAAGAGGGCTAAGGAAATTGCCTCTTTAAGGAAGGAAAGCAGGAAACTCTTCAACGCTGCAAAGCGTAATGGTTCTAGGCCTGCTTACAAAGCAGCCTTAAAGAAATTTAAGAATGCCACGAGGAAAGCCCAAAGGAACTCCTGGAAGGATTATTGTGATAGCATAGAGGGACAATCGGAGGGTAGTCGCTTGCGCAAAGTGCTTGCCAAAAATCCGACGAACCCAATGTTTATTCAGAAGGCGAATGGCGACTGGACATCATCCCAAGAGGAGATGATTGAGGTTCTAATGAGCGCCCACTTTCCAGGGTGTACTGAGGAGACTGGCGTCGCTCGCACAATTTCTGGACCCTCCTTAGAATGCATAGATTTTATTGATGTAGAAAGGGTAGATTGGCCCATAAGNATTGAGGTTCTAATGAGCGCCCACTTTCCAGGGTGTACTGAGGAGACTGGCGTCGCTCGCACAATTTCTGGACCCTCCTTAGAATGCATAGATTTTATTGATGTAGAAAGGGTAGATTGGCCCATAAGGTCCTTCCAGCCCTACAAATCTCCAGGCATGGACGGCATCTTCCCTGCCGAACTTCGGGCAACATCTGACATTCTATGTCCGATGCTTGTTTCAATCTATAAGGGGCTTGTCTCAGACTTAGCTTCATACCGAAGGGATGGACACTGGCGAATGTTGGGTTCATTCCCAAGGGCGGCAGACCATTCCACGTGAAGCCAAGCGAACTTGGACCGATTAGCCTTACATCTTTCTTCCTGAAGGTTCTGGAAAGACTACT